TACATGCCCTTGATGCCCTTGACCGGAATCAAACCTGGGACCCTTCAGTCCGCAGGCCGACGCTCTATCCACTGAGCCAAATCGGTTAGGCTCAACACTGTTCTTACTCATCATTTCAATCAATCGCCACTTCACCTTCACTCCAAAGAATCACTCCAAAGAAACCACATCTGTACTCACAAAATGTCTGCACACAGGGCACATTTGTTGCCATGCATCCTGCCATCGGGGCCACGGACTGGGTCACTCTCCCGGGTACAATAAAGCCTTCCATTCTTCACTTGGTCTTCATATTCTTTGCAAAAATCCTTTAAAAAGACAAGCAATTACATTGAACACGTTTCTACATTTTGATACAGAAAATTTATACCAAAACTTCATAGTCAAAGAATGTCAGATCTTAAAGGTGTTGGTAAACATGTATTACATATTAATGAGAATTAATAAAAGTAGTAATTACATTGTGAAATTACTCAGTGCCTGTATTTGCTATGTGGCATATTTTTTAAAAGGTAAAATAGCCTTAGAAAGGATAAGGTTGAGAAAGTATTTCCTATAACTAGCTAGTTCTTGTTAACTTCCAAATCTATGAAAAAATATCAAACAAAAAATCTTTCATGGCTTTCCAACAAAATGCAGCAGCCAAAACAAAATAAAATAAAATAAAAATTGACAATGAGAATATAGAAGCGATGAGGTGAGATATTTACATGCTACTTAATATGGATCAAGGCAAGAATAATCCAAACTAGTTGGCAAGGAAACAAAAAAGATGGTATCCAACAGCATCTGGCTTCTGTTAGCTGGTTTTCTCCATGGAATCGTGCATCGTTTTTGTGCACTCTGCTCCTTTATAGATGCTTGTTTATAATATTATAGGCGGACACCTTAGAGAGAGTGAATCTAATTTTCATTCACTCCCCTTCTTAGAGAGATAGAATATCAAGATGAATATTTATTTAGAAAACCTTAAAAAGATTGTGACTTCCCTGCAAAATCTGAAAGGTTTGTACTGGTTCAGTATTCTCTGGTTTTTCTTAGTAGTTTTGAAAACTACTATTTGATGTGGGGTAAGTTTATACACACACACATTACTCTAGAGTTGGGAATCTCTATATCAAGAAACATATTTTGTGATGATATATATTACTATAATATAACCTACAATAATGCTTCTCTTTAGCCTTCTCTTCAACTGTGTGACTTTCATTTTTCCATTTCAGCCAAGAAAATATGAACATAAAGTCAGAGATCTGGGCAGCTGGATTGTGCTTCAAACCCACTGGGAGACCATCATAAAATCTCACTACCTTTGAGACCCAAATCCCACCGCCTACACAATGAAGTTTTTGGAACAGATGTTCTTTAGGACCTTTTAAAAAATTTGAATTCTCTCTTTTTTTAAAAAAATACATATTACTTAGGACACTTTAAAAGGGAATCCTAATTACCTCCTAATAAGAAGATATTTGTTTTTGGAGGAGCAATGGGTGTGCTCCAAACTTCCTGGTTGTAACAATCTAGGAATACAGACACAGAAGTCACCTGGTAATCATAACATGGTAATAAAATCAATGCTCAATGATTCCCGTAAGAGAAACAATGATAATTTCAGTTTATAAGTTGTGATTCACCCAAGGAGATTCTGTAGAAATACTTTTGTGAGCAACCCACTGACAGTTTAATTATGGGGCAGATATTGAGCCATCACTATAAACCTGTCGTATTCAACATAATCTTGTCCAATGACCCCACCAAAACAATAACCCCAGCCACAGAGAGGATAGGGGAAAATAGCCAAGATGTGATGAAAGACAAGGGAAAAGAACTCTCTGTATTTACGAAGTAGTAAAATGCTATCACATGTTGACCCAAGGTTTCAGACTGAAGTTTAACAACCACCACTAAAGAACTGCTTTTCAAATTTCAGTGAGTATTGAACAAATTGTTGACAACTCTGAATGCTTCGTGCTTCTTGACTGAAATACTGAATAGCCTATGAAAGTTGAGATTTTTGCTTCATTGAGTAGCAATCTGAAGTGAAAGGTCAGGCCTTGACTATCATAAACTGGATCTGTGTTTCCCTTGGGAAAACATGTGCCCTATAATCCACAAGAATTTTATACCTGTATTAGCACATAAAGGTGCAAGACTTAGAATCCCAAACCAACAGGAAAGCAGGATTGAGATCATTTAATCATCCTCTTTATTCTGTTGCCAAGAAAAATTGAGGCCCAGAGAGAAGAGATGACTGGCTCAGTTTCACACACAAGAACATGACAGAGCTCAGTCTAAAACTTAGGTGCTCTGACTCCTCAACAAAAGGCTAGCATCAATAATTTTAATTATTTAGCAAAGTAACTGCTATCACTTTTACTGAAAGTAGGTTTATTAGCCTTCGTGATTTAAGAAATCAGGCTGCATTACCTACAATGCCTATTCTATTAACAAAATGAATATCATTTTCATGCTAGATGGAAAATTAAATCATCTAATAATTCTTAAAAACTTAATTGTGGGTGTATTTTTGAAACCCCAAGCTCAATATTTGTTTGAAATTTTCATGTAACAGAAGCAAGACCTTTGTAAATGGGATTTATTATACATAAAATATACTAGTGGATATATTTTGTTCAAAAGACTATAATTATTGTTATTTTATAATTTTTTAACTTAGAACCTCATTTTTAATTTGTAATAAAACTTTACAATTTGGTTTCCCCCAAAAAACATCAACAAACTGTAAGAAGCTGTTAATAAAGGTCTTAAATAACAAAAAATTATTTTTAAAGTTATTCCTGTCTAATTTATATTGTTATATTTTTTATAATTTATTCAAAGCAAGATTAATTTACACAAATTGTGAAATTAAGGGAAAGAATAATGTGATAATGAAGGACAATGACATTATTAAATGACCTCAAACATTTAAGCATATGTTTATTAAGACCTATAGCCATAAGAACCCAATTGTGTTGGTGGGTAATTTACCTTTTCAGCACTTCGTCGAATTCTGGTTTCATCGTGTCGCTTTCTATTTTCTTCAGCTTCTTTTAAGCTGTGAAGAATGAAACACTTGGTCAGTTTATACCTCGATCCTATTTTCAGTGTCCAGTTCTGTGTTAAGCACATTTATATCTTTTGCCCTAACTTGTTAAACTGATCCACTTACATTAGACAAGCTTTTCTCTGTCTTGAATGTCTGAGCCTGAAAATTACTAAAGATAAGGAAGGGTGCGAAACTGACTCACTCACAGTCAATTAGAAGCATTGTTCTGTGTAACTCGATGGGTGTGACTCCCTGATTGACAAACATATTGTCAGAAGAATTCCCTTTAACAGGCAGAACCAAGAGCATTAAAACAATGCTGTGACGAGGTGAAACCAGACTGAGTATTGGAAATATTGTCACCCACACCCTATGTATAGCTTTTTATACCTTGTAAAGTATTTTGTTTGCCTGTATGTAAAAGCATTATTGTTAATAAAAACTATATGAAATTGAGCTTCTAAGTCTTTTTGTATCATCTATTATCTAATTACAGTATCTTCCTACATTATTATCTTAGTTCTACAGAGAAAGAAATTAAGAGTTAGGGAGGTCAAATTCTCCTTTTTGGCTATTGCATAAAGAGAAAATGAAAGCTGCAGAATTAGTACAGGTTTGAAACTAAAAGCACATGTCTCCTAGTTCTAAACAAGTGAAAATTTGGCTGATTTCCAGTCTAGAAACCAGTTATAATTACTATATTGTAAACCTGTTAAGACATGCCCTTGAATTCTACAACAGTACACTTTAATTTTCAAAGGCAGGTGTGAAGTTTATTAATCTGTAAATCTTTCTCTGACCAGATTTAGAGATCCCAGAGATATATACAGAGCACTATAAGGCTTGCTGGCATATGGATTAGAGTCTATATCTTGTTGAACATCCAGAATATTAAAGACTCGTTGGATCGTATTCATACCAGGGTCTCAGTGCTAAGAATCATGTCAGGCACCCTGGGAAAGATTAACCTAACAGTTCTTCCCTTTCATAAATTCCATCTTTTATACTAACAATAAATTCAGCCACATGACATTGTTATCATTATTATTATTTTAAATTAGACTTTCATTTAGTAAGTCTCTAATACCTGCCCCCAAAAAGCAAAGCATGTCAAATGACTGAACGAGGTTATTTCATATGAAAGTGCTTTTTAATTTTCAAAACATTATGCCTTATAAGACATTGTGCAATTTCAAGTCATTATATGGAACAAGTTAAGTCTTGAATTTAATAACCAACTAGCATAACCACTGTATCCACTCCTTTTAAGAAACTTTAGCAAATGACATGAATTAAAAAGAGAAAGGCCACTCTGGGAGCAAGGGCCATTTTGCCTTCTGAAGACCAAAGATTGCATGATAAGGACTTGATCTCTCTGTGGAGTGGTGCTTAGGACAGCCACCAAGGGCATCCTCATCAAGCCCACCTGCTTGGCCTGCTTGGGGATGGTGATACTCACAACAGCTCAGCACACATCACACACTTATTGCCATGCGTCCTTCCATCAGGGCCACGGACTGGATCATTTTCCCTCGTGCACCCAAGTCTTCCATCCCTCACATAAGGCCGAAAAGCACTACAAACATCCTAGAACAGGAGAAGAAATGTGACATTTGCCACCTCGAATGTAATGCTTACAATGCTGCTTTCAGAAATTTTATAGAACTCAGTGCTTTTCTGTCCAATGCAAATTAGCCACGTAACGCAGTCTCAGAGGTAGCTCCGTATAATTCACGTGGTGAAGTATGGAACTCTTTACTTATTAATTCACTAATTAGTAAACGTGGATAACCTACTATGTACTAGAACTAAGGTAGAACACAGTCCTTGCCCGCAGCTTGCTCACAATCTACTGGGTCACATAGACAAAGAGAGATTTAAAATACATGCTAAAAGTCTTGATGGAGGTCATCGCCGGTGCCTATAAGAAGGGCACCAAAACTTGACTTAGAAAAGTCATTCAGTGAGAACAAGGCAACTGTGACACAGTGAGATGTTCACTTCCTTCCCCTAACATCAAAGGCTCACAGAATTTTAGCATAAAAAGAAGCTAGTTAACCCAAATCTCAATTTTAGATATGGAAACACTGGAACAGGATGGTTAAGGGGTTTGTCCAAGGTCTCCTGACAGCAAGTGACAATGCCGGGGTTTCAATTTAGGTGAGTGACAGGAGGGTAGTGACCTTTAATTTTCAAAACATTATGCCTTATACGCAGGTAGTTCCCTTTTAACGAATTTTCCTCCTTCCCTCCCTCTCTCTCTTCCTCCCTCCCTCCCTTTCTCCCTCCCTCCTTCCTGTCTTCAGGGGTTTGTCCAAGGTCTCCTGACAGCAAGTGACAATGCCGGGGTTTCAATTTAGGTGAGTGACAGGAGGGTAGTGACCTTTAATTTTCAAAACATTATGCCTTATACGCAGGTAGTTCCCTTTTAACGAATTTTCCTCCTTCCCTCCCTCTCTCTCTTCCTCCCTCCCTCCCTCTCTCCCTCCCTCCTTCCTGTCTTTCCATAGAAAGCTGAAATAGAGCTGAAAGATCTAACTACTAAAGTAACCTGGTCTAGTTTCAGAAACTATCAATTGCTTTTCGTCACAAGCAGTAC